CTAATACACCCTCTATCCTGGCTTTTCACAGGATGCTGTAATTTTCAGTCACCGTGGGTGTCTTCCCTGTAGATCAGTAGTGCTGTGAGAGCAGGCGTTTTATATTTATGTCTCCATCTCCTGACACACAGTAGATTCTAAACTCATTCATTGCGTGAAGGCAGTGAATGGCACACCAAATGCACTGAGTTGTCAAAAATGATGCTCAGCCACATAATACAGCTATTGATCTGTTTGAAGTTTCTTGTCTGGAAATAATGGTTCAGCAGAAGAGATTGTGTTTGCTCTCAAGAGAGTCAATTAAACTGGGAACCATATGTCCTCACATTTTCTCCTTCATGCTACTGCTTCACTGGGGATTATGAGAAGAAAATAGAGAAAATGTTTTCCTTGTGAAGGAGTCCAGAACAAGCCTCCCCAAAATGTTCCACGTTGGCACGTGAATTATTCCGAACTGAAGACCTACAAGACCCAAAAGACTCGAGAAGAGCCTTTTACTTCCCCCTTAACTGCCTCTAAGAATTTAGATACAGGGCTTGGTGCAGGAAGAGAGCTAGCACCAGAGATAATTACCAAGAATAAGGTAAGCCAGGGGGAGATGGGCAGGAATGGTTTGTTTAAATTCCTCTGTGGGTCCCACTGTTTCTGCCTGGTATGACAAACATTTGTTTACCAAACATTCACTCTTCTCAATTGTCTTCCTCTTTTTTGAAGCCCCAGACCACTGTCCCATTATTCTTAGCTCAGGATGGCACATAAGCCTCAATTGCCTGACTGTCTTAGAGCCTCTCATTTCTGTTTAGTTTCATGTACGCACAAAATTAAATTCGTTTTTCCCTTGTTAATCTTCCTTCTGTCCATGTCGTTAGTAGACCAGCTAAAGAATCTAAAAGGGTAGAGAGAAGATTTTTCTCCCCCTATGCGTGCATCATGCTTGTCCCTCCTCCACCTCTCTTTTCCGTATGAAATAACAGCATTACCAATAGCAACAACAAACACTTGTCCTTAAGATGTGTGTCCAAACAGTCTCATGATAGTGTTATTTATGACAGTGGTAAATAAAAAACACTCTGAAAATACAATGGGGAGATAATTAAGCAAACCATGACATACCTACACAATATCATATCATGAGTATATGTTTTTTAATTGACAAAACCCCAGAAATTATGATGGTATGATGTTAAGAGAAAAAAGCAGGAGAATGCAAAGTTCTGTGGACAATACGATCCCAATTAGCACAAAACACATGCAAAGAAAAAATACTGGAAGAAATTGACCAAAATATTATCAGTGGTTAATTCTGAGTGGTGGAAGTATGATTTATACTGAAGGGGTCAGAACAAGTGTCCTCAAAAGTGTGTCATTTTGGTAGGTGACTATTTGGAGCAGAAATCAAGACCCAGTGGGCTCACGAGAAATTTTTGCTCCCCCTTTATCTACCTAGAAGAACTTAAACTGGAGGTTAAACTGGGGAGTTCTTGCCAGAGATGAATTTTATCTAATTGACCCATCTATATGGCAGAGCAAACTTCTAATTACCCAGCACCTGCTCTTCTTATTGCTCTGTGAATCACCCTCCTCCCCTTTGAACCTCAGGCCCCCAACCCATTCCTTAGCTCAGGATGGCATATATACCTTATTTTACCTTTCTGTCTTTAGAACCTCTTGTGTATGTGGAGTTCCTGTTTGTACAAAGTTAAATTTGATTATCTCCTGTTAATCAGTCTCATGTCAATTTAATTCTGAGGCCAACCAGAAGAATCTTTGAAGGGTAAAGGGAAATTTTTCCTTCCCAACAATACTGTTCTAAGTTTTCTTAGTTTTTGATACCTTCATAATATTAGAGGGAGTTTTAAAATAAAAAAAATTAATCACACCAAGTAAAAAAAGAAAAAAGTCCTTTGTATTTCCAGAGCAGGAAAGATTGGAGGCTTCCCAGGGGAAAAATAAAAGGTGTGTGGAATGAGAACAATCACCTTGCCTGGGCCTGGGGATGTAGTGTTAAAAGTTCTTCCCTCTTTCTATTCACTTCCAAACCTGTGGAGGTACAGTCAGTAAAGTACAGTCTCAGCAACTTCCTGGTTCTTTCTGCACAGAATCAAGGATTTTAAGTGTCAAACATAGACTCTAAAGAGAAACCCTCCTAGTAAATACTATCTTTTCATCACCTGAAAATCATCTTCCCTCCTGCCTAGTTCTCTGAAATGTGCACACAGCTTGCATGGAGGAACATTTTTCAGGGAAAACACAGAACTGCTAAAAAGAAATACTGTGCTACTCAAACTGTGTCCTCAGCCTGGCAACATCACCAGCTTGCAACTTACTTAGATGCAAAATCTTGAGTCCGTCCCGGAACGAAGAGTACCAGGCCTTCCAGGGATGAGAACCCAAAATCTGTATCTTAAAAAACTCCCTGGACTTTTTTTGCATTTTCACATTGAGAAGAAATTCTAAGATTTGGATGATTAAGATTCCAATTGACTTCACTTTAACTCTTAAAGAAAAAAGAGGAAAAAAAAAAAAAGACTGCAAGAGACGTCAAAGGCTAATGAGTAGTGTTGTCCTACTCATTTACATGAGTAAATGTGTAACAACTGGAGGGGGGAGCCCTAATTTATAGCACTCTATAGATCGGATCTACCCTTGTGATGTCACAGAACTTGGAGTTGGGAAGAGAGGCACACTAGTGGTTTCCAAAAGCTTGTACAAGAAGCCAGCGGCACAGTACTGCTGAAGGCTCCTGCTGGAGTTGATAACAAAGACTCAGTTACTCATTTAATTCTCTCAACATTTGTAAGGGGAAATTTCTGCATAACTTGCAGCACTAGGTAATATTGTCTTGTTAATGTATCCAAGATGGAGGAAGGCAAGGGCAAATCATCCCACAAATCTCTAGAGAATGGCTAATCCTATATCTCTCAGAAATTGCTAAAACCACATGAAATCAGAAGTTGTAACATATAAGTTCCATTTCTGTTTGTACTGTGGTGGTGCAGGTTTTTCTCATTATATTAAAATGTCAAAACCAAGTAACACTATGGACAGTTTATCTCACTGATAAAGCTCCAGTCAAGCCATTTACCCAGCTGATGTCTTCACTTTTTAAATGGAAGCTAAAATGTCTCATGAAACTTCTTGTTCAAAAAGATAATGGAAGGTACTTTGGAGATAGCTTCCACTTAGATTTCTAAGGGATATTTGCTGCTTCCCACATATCAATTTAAGCAAATATTTCTAAATGTATACTTTCTCTTTTACAAACTGATAGCCAAGTGTGTTCTCTATTTCTATGACTTCTTTGGCAACATAAACTATAGAGAGCATGGGTTAAAACACCCCTCCCCCCACAGACACACACATATACACACACATATCATCATCATCATCATCATCATCATCATCACTTTCTGGAACTTCAACAAGTTTTAAACTCTCCAAGACTCAGTTTTCTCCTTCATAAAATGAGATTATGTGAGAATCTTCCTCAGAATTATTGTAGGATTTAAAAACATAATGCAAGCAAAATGCTTCATAATCTAGACATGCCATTCAAGGTAGTAGTTAGTACTTATGGGCTAAGTTTTATTTTCCTCAACTTTTCTCCAGGTATCAAATGTAATGCAGGTCAAATCAACTTTTCTTTTCAATCATAACATCATCAGATGATACTTGAAAATGGACACATTTCAGCCTGTTCAACATGTCTTTGCTGTGTAATGCAAAAAAAAAAAAAAGAATGTAAAGATAAATACAAATACAAATTCTATCTAACACTGAAGAAAAGAGCAAGTTATAGACCGCTGTTCAAGAAGGAAATAAAACCACAAAGAGTGATGAATCCAAAATCCTGGGCTCTAACTGAATTGAAGCCAATCCCAATATGTATTAATCCCCCTCGTGGCTACTTTGTAACTCAGAAATGCCACAATTCTCACTTCCCTTAATATACATAAAACATACTTAGGGCAGAAAAGAGGAACTTACCCACTAAATTCTCTTTATCCTGCTTCTCAGGGGAACTCGCCTCCGGATCCATCTCATTCTTGAGAAGTTTTACACTTGGCCAATTTTCATGGGTTTGGAGCCAGGCCTGGGCTCCAGGTGCTTAGGAGAGGGGAAATGGAGAGAGACGGAATGAGCAAGTGAGAGAAGTTCCTTGCCTTTCATGAGTACCCTAAGGAGCAGTTTCCCTGGTGAAGGAAGCCTGTTAACATAAACAAAAGGATTTCTTTCATGAGTTCAGACTGCCTTTGTTCCTAGAGAAAATTCAAAAGAACATGACCTTCTGATGGCATTGGTTCCTGTAAAATATCTCTAGGCCATTCCCTACATCATTTATATTTTGTAACCCACTTTTATGCACCTTGTGTGATCTGTTCACCACAATGAACTGTTGATATACAGGGCAAGTATATCTATCCTTATGTTGCAGATGACAGGATTTCATTCAATTCAATCTACACACTGCAATGCACAATCTTTTAAAACTTTTAAAACTTGAATCTGATCGTGAAACCATCCTGCTTGAAATAATCCCATGACTGCCAATCATTAGCACGGCAAAGACTAAAATCTTAAGTGTCCCCAAAGATCCTGCTAGTCTGTTCCTCTCTGCCTTTCCAGTCTCACTCACATGGTAAACCCCTCACTCACTTGGCAATTGGCCCACTAGCCTTTTATGAATACCACTGCATCCTTCGTGCCGCAGGGCCTTTGCACATGTTAATGACATAGGCATAATTATTTGGTTAATATTTGTTTCTTCCTCTAGAAAAGGGTTTGGCTAACTACCGCCTGTTAGCCCAACTTGGTCTGCCATCTATCTTTGTAAATGAAGTGTCACTGGAACCCAGCCACATCCATTGTTTCTGTGTTCTCCGTGGTCACTTCTGTACCACACCCGCATAGTTGAATATTTGCTATAGAAACCATGCAGCCTGCCTAAAATATTTTTTATCTATCCCTGTACAGAAAACGTTTGCTGAGCCCTGACCTACATGACAACTTCCACAAGGGATATGACTAGTTGTGCAATTTTCGCCATGGCACCTGCAGCGTTAGAACGACATGGGCACATCGCGGATGCCCAACAGATACTTGTTGAATGAACGAATAAGTGATCTGTCAAAGATAACAGCTCAGAAGAGGCAAAGCTCCTTGTCAAATCTAGACCCCCAGGATTCCGTCCCAGGAGCCCTGCTTTCATCAGACCACTTCCAGTCAATGATAATTTCGCTCTTACTCCACTACAGAAAGAACGAATATTCTACTGGAATGATGGTCATCTTTCTCCTATCACTATTCCAAATAATATTTTGTTTTACTTTGTGTGAAAGCAACGCAACACAAAGCCAACTCGGATCTTTCCCTGGTCATCCTGTCTTTGCCAGTCGTTCTTCCCCCAACCGTCTAGTCACTTTCTTCCCAGCAACTTCATCTTTAAAAACCTCTCAGATTGTGGGTTACTTTTGCCAACTACTGGATACTCTTAATTGCATTCTTGACAAACTCAGATTACAGTAATAACCAAGGCTGTCATCCACAGTTTGTAATTATAAGAATTAATGTGGAATATTAGAACTTTGGGAAAGGAGGCTGAGGACCAGAAACTCAGATTAAAACGGATGTATGTGCATGCACAGAGTCAGGGACTTGTCTGCTTTAGAATACTTTCCTCCGTGTTCTCCTCATACATCCTTTGTTATGGCCTGGTATGGAAACAGTGCCAGAGGCATAGTGGGCAAGAAAGCAGGTCCTGGGCTCATGTTGCCTGTGTAGACAGAAGTCCCGGCCCTACTATGAACCTCCTATGGGACATCATGTAACTTATTTAATTCTTCTTCATGTTCTGTTTTTTCATCTGTGAAATGGGCATGATAACAGTCTCTATCAGCATTGTCTGTGTGAGCAGTATATGAAAAATTGCATGTAAAGTACTCAGAAGGGTGACTGGCGTTGATAAATTGTAACCATGATTACTGTGAATGAGAGCTGGGCTGTGTTTCTCAGCACTCAGTGATCTTCTTTCTAACATGAGAATGTTGGGTTAATTTTCACTCTATGTCTCTCTTCATCCTTGTGTCAAGCACATGTAAGATGGATTAGTGATTGGTCCAGTATGTCAAAACATTCATCACCTCTCCTTTGTCTAACACCTCTCCAGTTTCCTGCAAATTTGCAAACTTGAGGGCCATTCCTGGTTCTGCCCTGTAAGTCCATCGATTCTGTTCTGTTTCTTCCTGCACCATCTCTACTTGATCACCATGTCATCGTAACTTTGGGACTAACCTCACATGGAAAAGAGCAACAAGAAAACTTCCTATGTCCGTCATTTCTTGAGACTAGGTCATAAACAGTCCTTGCCTGGAACAGGAAACCCCCCTTTCCCTCCGAATTGGATGACCCTCCATGGTCATGCAGCAAAATGTTTTGGAAGTACTGCTTTAGCTCATTTCTAAATATAATTCCCCTTAATATTAGCCGAATACCACTTACGCCAGTCACGGCATAAGGTTCAAAAACAACAGGAACAATAATTGTTCCCTGGTGGTGGCTGGCAAGAGCCTCCGGGGCACTTGCAGCAAATACCTCCCTACGGAAGATGACTAAGCAACTGTTTTTCTTCTTCCTGCAAAATGTCCCAAGCATCTCAGCCTAGAAAGCAAGAATGATTTCAACAAGGAAGGAATGCCTGGAACAGCCAGGGGCTTCAGGAGATGAATGAAACACAAGATCATTCTCAATGTTTCCTCCTCCTTTGTCTAAAATAGAAATCATCGTGGGCCACGTTAATGGAATATTCTCCTCTCTGTCGTGGGGGAGGGAGGATGGGGAAATGAAGCAGATCACCAATTGCTGGAATGTGCTCCCAGTGAAGGTTTCTACATTTTCATTCTATCAGTGACTGAACTAGGGCAAAGTCCTGAAATGAGGACAGCTTTTTTGTTTTTGTTTGTTTGTTTTAGGACAACTATGATTTTAGAAGCCCTAATTCCATTCCCGCTCCTGACGTACAGGATGTTGTCCCTAAATATGCATAGTTGATTTATCCTTGAGTGTTCATCTTAGAGCAAAAATGCCATCATGAAACAATCCGTTCTAGCCTCAGACCTTTCTCCTTTTCTAAGCTTCTGGTTTCAGGAACCCTCTCCCACCACCTGTCATCCACCATCATTTCATTTCTTGCTAAGATGCACACATATGTTCCAGGACATTTGCTACTCCCTTAGGGAAGCGTTCCCTTTACTTTAAATGATGAAGTTCTCTGATTTCATTAAATTTTCACCAATGTATATCATCCATTCTATTTTTTTATTCTCATTTATCCAATTCTTGAATTTCCACCTCCTTAAATAACAAATTAAGTCCACAGATCCTCATCGATATTTATAGTGATAACTCCCCAAACTGCCAATCTGACCTAGACTTCACTCCAGAATAATAAATATTTTCAACTATCAGCTGATGAAATATCTCTACCTAAATGTACCCCCCACCAATGAAATAATCTGTCCATTAGAAAACATTCTATTAAATAGACACATTTATTATGGAAATTATTATTATTATTATATATATTATATATATAATTATTGAAATATATTATTATATATACAATGCATATATGTATATGATGTGTGTTTATTGAATAAAATGAACAATGAATATACGGCCCAACCTCAGAACTAGAATATAACCAACACCATTAAAGCTATTTGAGTATTCTTCATAAGCCTTATTCTCACCTCCCCATAACAACAGTCCATAATTATGCTGATTATTCTCTTGCTTTTTAAACAGTTTTTTATTGTATATGTATATATCTTTTAAAAATTATTTTATTTATTTTTAAAGATTTTACATATTTATTTGAGAGAGAGAGACAGAGCATGAATAGGGGGGAGGAGGCAGAGGGAGAGGGAGAAGCAGACTCTTCACTGAACAAGGAGCCCGACCTGCGGGGCTCCATCCCAGGATCCTGGGATCATGATCCGAGCCAAAGGCAGATGCTTAACCGACTGAGCCCCCCAGGTGCCCCTATCATGTATGTATACATCTTGAAACAATGTATTACTTAGCTTTATTTGCTTTTGACCTGGGTGAAAATACACATGTATTCTCCTGTGATTGCTTTTGTGGATATTGTTTTTAAGGTTCATCCACCTTGTTGCTTGCAGCTACTGTTTGCTCATTTTCAGTGTACCTCACTATTGGCAGGCCCCCATTCACTGACTTATTTAGAATATTTAAAAGTCTTTGCTATTACAAATAATGCTACCATGAATATTGTTGTACATGTCTCCTGGTGCATATATATGCAAGAGTTGTTCCAGTACTGAAAATCAAGGTGTGCACATCCAGAAATGGAATTGCTGGAATTTATGTTCAACTTTATAAGATTGTTGTAAACAAGATTTTGATTGTTTTCAAGGGGTTTGTTATCAACTGGATCTTCTACTAGCAGTGTACTGCTCTCAAGAATTCCCTTTGTTCCACATCATTGAAGCCACTTGATATTGTTGGAGCTTAGTTACTATTTGACAACTTAGTGGGTGTAAAATAGTATTTCATTATAATCTGAATTTAGATTTCCCTGAATTTCAATAAGGCTGAACAATTTTCACAGGGCTATTTACAATGCATGTTCTTTTTCCCTGTATTGTACTTAATGTCTTTTCCACTTTTTCATTTTTTCCATTTACTTACTGATTTGTATAGTCTTTATATATACACTACCATGTTTTTAATATGCATATATACTTTCTATATACATATATATATATAGAGAGAGAGATGCTTAACAGCTACATGAGGGGCAAATATAATTCTCTCTGTTGTGCCTTATCTTTTCACCTTTTTAATGATGCCTTTGATATCAAATATAGGAAGCTTCAATATACTTAGTGTCTGGTATGTCTTGTTTAAAAAAATCCTTCCTTTTCTATGGAAGACAGGATATCCTTAAGACAGGATAGTCGCCTATATTTTCTTTGAAAGCTTTTAGAGTTATTTGCTCTTTTGACTTTAAATCTTGAATCCACCCAGAGTTGCTTTTTGTGCATGGTGTAGTGTAGGAATCCATTTTAATTTTCTTTTATATAAATACCCAATTATCAGAGCACTTTATAACAAATCGTCCAATATCTTAACTCATCTGCCATGCCAGCTGTTATAAATTGGTCTCATCAGAGTGAGCGCTCCTGGTTTTCTTATTATACTCCGCTATCAATTTGGTTATCTCCAATGAATACTTCATTGTTTTAGTTTCTATGGTTTTATTAGTCTTGGTATTTGGTAGAGCAGGTTCCTCGTTGTCTTTAGAAGAGTATCTATTATTTGTAACCATGATAGTTGTGTATCCCCCATTTAAATAGGTTTTCTTTAATGATTGTCATAAAGTTAAAAAAAAATTCTCCATAACTCCTAAGTCATATGTCACTGTTTTCTTTCTAAAGACTTAAATTTTTTTAGAGCAGTTATATGTTCACAGCAAAATTGAGAGGAAGGTACAAACACTTCCCATATACCTCTTACTCCCACACATGCCTAGGCTCCCACATTATCAAAATCCTCCACTAGAGTGGTATATTTGTTGCAATTGATGAATTTACATTAACACATCATTATCACCCAGAGTCCATAGTTTGGATTAGGATTCACTCTTGGTGTTGTACATTCTATGGGCTTGCACAAATGTATAATGTCATGATAATGTTATGATGATGTCATCCATCACTATAATATCATAGAATATTTTCACTGCTCTGGAAACTCTCTGTGCTCCCCCTATTCATCCTTCTCTGCCCCTCCCCCCAACCCCTAGCAACCACTGATCTTCTATGTCCATGGTTTTACCTTTTCCAGAATGTCATTTAGTTGGAATCATATGGAAACTTTTCCAGATTGGCTTCTTTCACCTAGCAATATGCATTTAAGGTTACACCATGTCTTTTCATAGCTTGGTAGCTCCTTTTTTTAGTGCCAAATAGTATTCCATTGCCTGGTGTTTCCTTTTGTTGAATGAAGTTTTTTGCTGTTGCTCATATTTGAAAATGCAACTGACTTTTGAATATATTCGTAAATCTCACTAAGCTTTATGTCTTCCTTTTTAATTATACCTTTTACTGTTTTAGACCTTGCCATTATTAGCCAGACTGTGTAGTACCATGCTGAACTACATTTTACTTGACCAGCCTGATTTTAAAGGGCTACTTCTTAAAATTCCATAGTTAAGAATAATGTGTGCTATACTTTTATAGATTAACTTTACCTAATAAAGCTTCATTCTTTTCATAGTTTGCTAAATGTGTGTTTCTTAACCATTATGGTGATTGTTATCAACCATTTTTTATGGACTGAGAAGATGGTTTTTCTCCATGTGATGACTGCCCTTTTGGACTTACTTTTATCCTTGCCTTACTATTAATCTATCCTTTACTCCCGACAGAAACCCAACTTGGTTATGGTGTACTGTTTTTTAGAATAATCTTGTCTTGCTAATATTTTGTTTCACTATTTTTCTTGGGTAAGGTTGACTTGCATTTTTTCTCCTACTACGCTTGTCTGAGTTGTGCTTTCAAGGTTAAATTGGTCTATAAGAGTGAGTTGATGAGTGTTTCCTCCTTCTATTCTCTTGGAAGAGTGTGTGCAGTAGAATGAGGCTGAAAAGACTTCCGAGGCTACTGCTTCCTTTCCATTTACAAGTGTTGTGATACCAACATGCTGGCAAGTAAGACTTCTTACTGTGTGCTTATTTCTTCCACTTTTCTGTGCCTTCTCTGTTTTTTTCTTATTCCATTTGCCCTCTCCACCAATTAGGAATTAAAAACACTAATGACTTCGAAGATTTATTTATTTGAGAGAGAGAGAGAGAGAAAGAGAGAGAGTGCTTGTGGGAGCAGGGGGAGGGGCAGAGGAAGAGGGAGAGAAGCCTCAAGCAGACGCCCTGTTGAGCGTGGAGCAAGAGACAGGGCTCAATCTCATGACCCTGAGATCGGACCTGAGCTGAGATCATGACCTGAGTGGAAATCACGAGTTGGACGCTTAACTGACGGAGCCACACAGGAGCCCCAAACACCAAAGACTTTGAACTCTTACTGTAAAACTTTTACCAGAAGTAAATTAGGAATTTCGAAATTTAGTATCAAAATGCCCCTCCTGAATACAAGGACCTGGGGATACTTTAATTTTGATCGCCCTTCCCAACTGACTTGCCAGTGTTGCCCAATATTTTATCACTTAACTGACCCAAATGAGACATTGTTTACTAGTGTTGTGTCCCCCTTTAGAAACAACAAAGGCTCACTAAATTTGATTTGGAGTGAAGTCTTTTTTTTAAGTCAATAAATTTATATTTGAGGAATTTCACATGTGATTTCTCCTACTACCAATCACCTTAGTTCCTTCGGAGTCTGTCATAATCTTCCAGGTAGCCCTTTTTAAAAAGAATTTTTGCTCAATTCACAGTTGTCTCTGTCAGTCAGTCCACAATTCTTTCAGTTGGGCTTCTTTTCTTTTTTTGAGTCGGGGGCAGAGGGAGAGAATCTTAAGCAGGATCCACGCCTAAGTGCAGAGCCCGACGCATGGCTCGATCTTGGGACCTGAGCCGAAATCAGGAGTCTGAAGCTTGACCAACTGAGGCACCCAGGTTCCCCTCAGCTAGATTTCTTTGATCTCCACTTGGATACGGACATACTTCAAAACTTCCCCACCTATAATCTTTGGAATCCAATTTCTTCAAACAATTGATTTTAGGGCCCTAGAAGTTAAAACTGTAGAAAGTTCACTGATTGCTATTTTGTCAAGTGATTTAAAAATATATTATTCCTTAATTGTTTCTAATACTGAAAAGTCTTGTTCCATCCACTTTTAACAAGAAATGTTACAGGTCTCATTGTCGCCCCTGCAATAACCAAAGCATAACCTGTGTCTCAATGTCACCACATTAACCATCTGTGGACATCACAGACAACCATGCCCATTTTCATCTAGAATGAGGCTTAGAGTAAATGAAGTCCTTTCTAAAATTCTGTGACACTAACTATATTTCATAAGTGCAGACTAAACTCACCTAGCAAATCAATTGGTAAGGCTTAAAATTAAGGTTCATCAATTACATGAATTAACAGTGTTTGCAAATCCTATATAACTACAGGGCTTTATGGGAAGAGAATGCAGAGGTACATTTCTAATCCCTTTCCATAATGCAGATCCTCACCATCTTCATTTTTAGATTTCTGCAAAAACCATCCAGTGTACTACCTCTAATTCAACCTCCATGCTGTAGCCTATGTGACTTTTGCAAAGTGCTTTCTATTTCAAACTGCTGACCAGAAACAGACACCCGAGTCCTCCGCATGGCTTACAAGGTCTTTTGCAATCAGGTCCCTTGATTTTAGAGTTCCCCAAACTACAGACTTCATTCAAACCCCACCCAGTTATGGGATTATATTGCTGTGCTGGTCTGTCACACTTGGTGCCTCTCTGAAGGATGTTATTTCTTACTAATCCTAAGACTTTAATGTCACCAAGAAGGCTTTCTGGACTCCCTCAGGCAGAAAGGTACTCACGTTCTGTCTTGCCTATTTTCAAAGCACTATGAAGTAGTAGTAAAAAGTAGTAAAAGTAGCCTGGTATTGGTATTAAATGTTTGGTTTAAATTTACCACTTACTATGCTGTGGGACTTACATCTTGACTTATCTATCTGGTTAATTAAGTTGCTAGTACTTATCTCTAGGGTTATGAGATACATAAAACCCGTCCGCAGTAATTACTGCAAGCACTCCAAAAATGTTTTCATTTTTATATAAACCTTTATGTGCCCGATACACACAAGATGCCAGGAATACATCTAAAAGATGAACAGGACATAGTTCCTTTGCTATGATGACAGGGGCTCATAGAACAGTAAAACTAAACCTTGTAGCAGTATCACTAGAGAAAGATTACTCATTAATTTGTCTTGAGTGAATGGTCAACATATATATACAACACAATCTTTAAAAGGTTTTATAAGTGTAGACTTAAAAAAGAACAAATGACAACTTCCAGCAACTGGCATTGGATTAACTATGCAGTTACATTCTGTGTTTGCAGATAATTAAAGGCATAAATAGTCTGTTTCAAGTGTTCGTTATAAGTTTCATGTAAGATAATATATAAAGGAATGAGCAATTGAGTTTCAACTGAATTTGGACAAACAAAAATGTTCTATGTATTAGCATATGTGAAAAATTAAAAAGCCTCTCGAAGCACTTAATAAAACACTTGTAAGATATTTGTCATATCCATAAAGTTTATTTTAAAAAATTGTTAAAAACTAACCATACAGGAATATTTATTAATATACTTAAAAAGTTTGTTCCCCGTGTTGAAGGAAAATACATTAGCAACATCTTCCAGACACCATCTTTATAAAAGTAAAACTTCTAGATGCTGAAATGTACTACAGTAGATTCTATAGTTTACACTTTTCATCACAGGATTGAAAATCATTCTCCCTACTCCCCGTCCCCCCGAATGTGGCAGTTCTTAAGACTTAATTAATGACATTCAATCATGTTATATACTACCACAGATCCTTAAATAGAGTACACACTGCATGGTTACTAACGGAGCAAGTCTTCTCTATTTGTTGTCATGTCATTCTTTCAGATAAGCGTTGGGCTTTAAGTACAAATAGAAACACTACATCCCATGATTGTAAACATTCACCAAGAGCTTCCAGAGTACAATGAGTAATAGAGGTGGCCCAAGAGTCAGTCAAATGTTCCTCACCCATTTGGATACTGCTGAGATTAAGAAATGAGTTTTGAAGGCAAATTATCATAAGCCTTACTTTCATTTCTGTAAGAAAGTCATTTTGGATATATTTTTAGTCGAAAACACCTGAAAGTCATCCTAAAGACTATATTAAGCACCATTTTCACTTACCTGAACTATATTAAGTTAAATTCAGCAGTATATGTATGAGCATAAATGTCAGAAATTAGAAAGAACTGTGGGTCTCAAGCTCCCTTCTGTGGATACGTACGGAGTATTGAGTTCCAAGGATGCTAATAGGAACCACTCGTGCACACCAAGGGCAGTCATGCCCCCAGGGCCAAATGCAACCCAAAAGTCTGAGGCACAACTACTACTTCGGTCAGTGGATGCTATACAAGTAGATTTAAGGCTGTATTCGGCTATAAAGAGTTCAACCTCCTCTTTAGTATTCTTCCTACAGAGATCACATACACGACTCAAAATTTCATGGGTGGAAGGTGAAAAGTCCCCGAACACCTTTTTAATACTATTCTCCGTACAATTCATTATCAGCCTATTTACACAGGGGGGTGTTCATACTTAAAACCATTAAAAATGCAATCGCCATGTTTTAAACTCTTATCCTAATTTCCCCAGGATTATCCTCATTCTCATTTTCTGACTTTTAGCCAACTTCACATTAGTCAGATTGTTCACGGCAGTCCTTAGGCATTTTTGATGTTGCTCCAAAGGAGAATACAAATTAAAATCTATTCACTGCCACCCACTTTGAGACAAGCCTGGTTGCAACGAAAACGGTGTTCCTGGTGTTGAAGGGTAACTAGGAAACCCATCTGGCTGAGCTGAATAGCTTTCCAGAGCCGAAGCTGAGTGGACCTGATAGAAAGAAGAACGTGCAGGTTAGCAGAGGGCCAAATTCAATCAAGTTGGTACTTGCTTTTGCCTGTACCACACTACAGATATTTAGAATAGGAAAGAAAAGAGAAAATGTTGGGGCAAGATAAGTCTTCATAGTCTCCTGAAATTTTTAAGAAACATTCAAAATTCTTCAGATGGTGGAGGCCAAGAGAAATGCCATTAAAATACTTAATATTCTTTCAAAAAAGGTTAATGGGTTTTCTAGAGAAAACATGACTTAATTAAAGTCCATTATGTTAGCTTAAATTACAAAAAAAACCCAGCTCAAATATAACTGCCATGTGTAAAGATTCCATTTGTAAAATCTCCAAACTAAGATTTGAAAGTCTGTAAGCAGGAAAAACAATTCATACAGATGAATACATTCCACCACCTTTGTTAGCTTTCTGAAGGAAAACAAGCATAATCTGCAGATTTGGGGAGATTAACCCTAAACTCCCCGGACACTCTTCTCAGAGAAGATTTTTGCCAATGTTGGCCTATCATCATTGGCATTACACGGTTGTCAGGACAGAAGCTATGCGTGTATGTTTCCATTTAATTTCTGCCCGACCTTGCCTGCTTACCTGCTGTAACAAGGCCGACTGCGCAGCGGCATTATGCTGTAATTCTTGCAAGGAGGACTGTGAAGGGTTCTGGGAGAACCCTGGAATACCGGGGAGGGACAGAAGGCCTGGAAAAACAGAACTGCCTGCAGCTTGAAGGCCAGATGATAAGCTAAAACAATAGACAGAACAGGTCAAAATGCAAGTAACACAAAACCTACTGCCTCTGTATTTGTCAAAAACTACCTTGTTGAGATGTAAAACAAACTTTAAACTTCCGCATTGGAAGGAACCATAAAAGTCAGCCACTCACTAACATAAAATTTACTATTATAAAGTATATTATCCTGAAGGTAATAAAGTCTGTTTTGCCTGTAATACTTCCTGCTGCTTTATAATAAGGAGAAATTACCGAATACTAAAATAACCTGAGCAGGTATTAGTATTAGATATACTTAACACGGCTGAAGAGCTACACGTGTTTTTTGAGTATTGAAGTTTCAGCCCAGAAAAATATAATTTAGCACCACCCAACGATCAGATTAGACTCACCGGAATGACTTAAGACTAGGGACTACAAGGTAGGTCAGGAATGATCATATCCTATCTCCAAAGTATCCACATACCCGGCTTGTGCAACGAGAGCAGAGTTGAAATTGGAGCTGAAGGCGGACGCGAATCCCGGGAGGACGGGAGCTGGCGACGGGGTCGTGGCCACGACGGGCAGCGCTGGGACCGCCGCCACCGTGGCCGGCGGCTGCAGCCCCGGGAACGAGGGCAGGGCGGGGGCGACGCTGGGGGTGTTGGAGACGGAAAAGCCGGGGTAGGAGGGGTTTGAAGAGGGCAGGGGTCCCTGCGTGACGGAGAAGAGGGAGGGGACGGCGGTGGACAGGTTGAGGGGGAAAGGCGCCGCCGAGCCGGAGGCCGGTGCCGAGGCCGAGAGCCCCGAGAGCACGGCCGCGGTGGAACTCGGAGGGGGGACGGGTGCGGACGTGACCGCGGCAGATGAGGTGGCTGCTATTAATGACCCTGGCAGAGCCGCTGACGGGTTAAGAGGCGGGTTGCCGCTTAAAGGGAAATTATTGGTCAAAGACGTGAAAGGAGGCAGAGCAGTGAACACCGGAGTGATGGGGGCGGAGGAAGCGTGCGGCGGCAGGGCGATGGAGGAAAGGGGGTTCGACACATTCAGGGGAGTCGTCAGACTGGAGAGGCCGGACAGCGCAGGATTAAGGCAAGTCGACAAAGTGATGGGCACCGAGGCGGACGTGTACGCGCGGCCCAACGTCCCCGACAGACCTAAAGCGCCAGGAGAGGGATTCGCGGAAGGAGCGGGGCCTTTGAAGGCGGAGGGGGTGGGGCTCGTGGGCTCAGTTTTGATCAGCACAGGGCCGGCTGTGACGGCGGGCGCGGACGCGACGTGCAGCTCCGAGTTAGTCGCGTGGGGGCCGTGCAGGAGGGCGGCGGACGAACCACAGCTGACCGGCGCTGCAGCGGCACACGACGCAGGCGTCACCAGCGGAGAAGGTGCGGGCAAAGTCGATGGGGTGGAAGCGGAGTTCGCCACGGTGGAGGGCAGGCTCGGGAACATGGCCAGCCCGGGCGTGGAAGATCTCGGCGGGCCGGGAATGGCCGGCAGGGCATAGCACTTGTTAGAGCCCGAGGCCGGCGAATCAGAGCTCTGATTAGTAAGAGAAGACAGTGAAGCCAGCCCGCTTGTAACAGCAGAGGACAGAGCAGATGAGCTGATTAAGCTGGTATCATTTGATGTCAGA